TTTTTTTTTTTTACTTTTAATCTTTTTGTTTTTTCAGACCTCGAACGAATTAAAAAAAATTGCAGCATTCAGTTTATTCAATTAATATTTTATCATTTATTTTTTATTTTATTTTTTTATTCTTTTTATTTAATTTATTCATTTGATTTTTTTTTTTAATTATAAATTTTTTAAACTGTTACAGAAAAAATGTAAAGCATTTTACTAGAAATTTAAATTTTTGTGCTCTAAAAAAAAATTATCAATCGCACCAATCTCAATATTGAAATGATCTAAAACTCATATTTTCATGAGTTTTTTTATTAAACAGAGCTTTGAGTAAAATATTGTTGTGTTTCTGAAAATGTTTTTGTTTCCAAAATTTAAATTTATGGCGGGTTTTTCTTATATTTTTTGTTAACGTAGAAAATTTTTTGTTTTATTTTTTACATTACTGTGTATTTTTTTTTGTTACATTTTAGTATATTTTATATACCTATTCTTTATTTAATTTTTAACTGCGGTTGGTGCTTTTTCAGTCTTTTAATAATTGAATTTTAAAATTTTTAATAATTTTTTTCAAGGCTACCAAAAATAAATAAATTTGTATTCAAAAATTTATGCAACGAACAGTTTTCTTAATAAAAAGTGTATGCATTTTTAAAAACTTTTTGTATTTAATTTTTTTTTATCTATTTTTCAAATCAAACCACGTAATCTTAAAAACAAAATATAAGTAAGTTTTTTAGGTTCATAATTCAGCGAAAGTTTATCAAATAAATTTTTTTAAGCTTTAAAATTTCAGATATTTAGTATTTTCATTGTATGCAAATTTATTGCGTAAACTCAAAGATTATTTTACAATAAAATATTTAGCTAATACGATGTTTTGATAAAGTTAAAAATTTTCTCTCAAAAATTTCACTGAAAAACAATTTTAAGTAATTTTTATATGTAGTACATAATATTATGCAGATACATATGTAGCGCCAATTACTTTTGAAAATTCAAATACTTTTTTGTTTGATAAATAATAAATTTGTAAAGTATTTTATAGAAATTTTAATATATTGCATTCCGAATTTTTTTTGCTTTTTTATACAAAATTCCATTATTCTTTTGTCCAAATTTTCAAATCAATATTTTTGGCGAGAAAAATGTTTAACAAAATTTTGGTTTTTCGGATTTTTTTTTTTAAATACGAAAATTTTAAAACTGTGCTCAAATTTTCAAATAAATATTTCTTGACTAGAAATTTTTATATTTCACCTACAAACAAGGGCTTTTTATAAATTGGACAAATTCCAGACTTT